GACCGGCCCGATAAGGAAGCCTCGACCCTAGACGTCTCCCTGCAGAAAGAGATCGCCCGGCTGCACGTCAACTTAGGTCATCCCTCGAACGAGGACTTCCTCCGAGCGCTGCGCGTGGCAGGCGCCCGCCCGGAAGTTCTCAGATGGGTAAAGGAAGTATTTAAGTGCGACCAGTGCGCCTCCCACTCGGGGGCCAGCTGGAGACGCAAGGCCCATCTGCCTCACACCTACGCTTTTAATAAAGTTCTGGCGGTCGATCTTTTCTATTTGGATATCCAAGGGAAGAGCGTGCCAGTCATTAATCTGATCGACCACGGGACTTCGTTCCAGCAGTGCGCTTTACTACCGGACGACACGGCGAGGTCCGTTTGGCAGGCGTTTCTTCGGTGGTGGGTTCGGCCCTTCGGGGCCCCCGAAGTCTTGATTTGCGACGGGGGAGGGGAGTGAAGCGATTTTCTCGAGAGGGTGCGAGCACCTCGGCATTATGCAGCACGTGATTCCCGCCAACTCGCCTCATCAGAACGGCAAGTGCGAGAGACATGGTGGGATTGTAAAGAATGCTTTGTCTAAAGCGGCGCAGTCCACAAACCCCGTCTCCCGGGAAGAAACCGATTTGCTTCTTTGTGAGGTGGTGGCGGCGAAAAATCGAGGGTTCCATCGGGGAGGTTTTAGCCCCTCGCAGCTGGTCTTTGGCCAGAACCCCAGGATGCCCCGAAGTCTTTTATCGGGCGATCCGATCGATCTCATTGGCACTGAGGACGTCTCTGCCCGCGCCATAGACTTGGACACCGCCGCAGGGGAGTTCGCTCGGCAGCATCGAGTGCGCGAGGAGGCTCGTCGCGCGCTCGCTTCTTTAGACGCCCGTTCTAGGATTGCTGAGGCCGCCAGGGCCCGACCTCACCAGCAGCGCCAGTTTCGCCCTGGCGATTGGGTGTGCGTCTTCCGACGGATCACAGCATCTAACAGGGGCCACTTTCTGCAAAGGGATCGTTGGACTGGCCCCGGGGTCGTTATTTATCAAGCCGCGGGCTCCGGAGGTTCCGAGGCCGGGGGAACGGTTTGGGTTGCGATGAGGGCCAAGCTTTTGAAGTGCACGGCCGAGCAGGTCCGTCTGGCCACGCGGGCCGAGTCCCTGGGCGCCGAGTTGCTGGACAGTCCGACCTTCGATCGTTTGAGGGAGGACATTCGTGCCCTGGGGAGGCGCGTCGGGGCCGTCGACGTCGCCGCCGAGGGACCCCCCCCCCCCGAAGCCGACGACGTCCCCGAGAATGATCGAAGCTTCGACCCTGCCGAGAGGGCCTCTGCGAGGCGCCTGAGCTCTGTTTCGGTCCCGGGCCCGCTTCCCCGGAGGCCCTCGGAAGACACCAGGCCCCCGTCCTCCTCCGGAAGTACTGTGGTCGCGGTCCCCTCGGAGCCCCCCGGGCCCGCCTCGTCGGAAGCCGCTCCCCGAGGGCCCGGGCCCCGAGGATCCCGAAGCGAGGCGAGGTTCCCCGGAGAGGCCTTGGAGGGCCAGAGCGGCAAGAAACCCCGCCTCACCCCGATAGAAGAGCACGGGCTTTCCCCTCCCTCCGTGAAAGAACGGGTCGCAGCGATCGAAGTTTCAGCGGATCAGCCACCAACTGAGGTAGTCGGCGCTAGCAGCGAGCCCGAGAGCGTGGAAGTCCGCTCGGCCCCTCCGACCGGGCAAGAGGCTCAGTCCGAGGACGTTCCCATGAGGCGAGTAGACTTCCCGCCTTCCCGCCCGATCGGGTCTGGGAGAGACATTTCAGTTCCCCGAGCTCGCCGACCGCCCGAGAGAGTCCCCTCCCCCGTCGTCGCTCGGAGCCGCTCTCCAGATCGGCCCTTGGGCGGGGACCTTGGTCTGCTCGTCGGGAACGGGGAGTCGGCGGGTGAGGCGGAAGCCAGCGGGAGTAACGACGTCTGGGCCCTCCCTGACGGCGTTCAGGACGAGACGCTTCTTCGAGAGCTCGCCGAGTGGCGGGAGCGGGGTCTCTCTCCTCAGGCGTCGTCTTTCTTTGCACGTCTCGCAGGTCTGGAGGGCCCGAACGAGTTCCCGTTCGCGAGCGCGTGCCCCAGCAAGCCTACCCCTCCCAAGATCAATCCCCGAGGAGCCGAGGTCCGATTAAAAGATTTGAGTCCCGAGGGCCGAGCCCGATTTGTGCTCGCGGATACTAAGGAGTGGGAGGCGATGCTGGCCACCGGAGCTGTCCGTGTTCTTGCCCACGAGGAGTCGCTGGCGGTGCGCCGGAGGTTTGCTGATAGGATTCTTTCATCTCGCATGGTGCGTCGACTCAAGCCAGTCGAGGGAGTCGGGGCTCGCCCAGAGCCCAAGTCTCGTTGGTGCGTCCATGGACACCAGGATCCCGATAGCGAATCATTAGAGTTTTATGCCCCCACTCCCCAGTCGGAAAGCGTGATGACGTGTCTTCAGATCGCCGCCTCGTTTAGCTGGACGCTGGCTATTGCCGATGCTAAGAACGCCTTTTGCCAGAGTCAGAAGCTCACCCGTCCCCGGGGCTCCATCTATGTGGAGCCGTGTTCGGGCCCCCCCGTGGGACCCGATCAGCTCATCCAGCTCGTTGCCCCCGTGTACGGATTAAACGATGCTCCGTTGCTTTGGCACCGTACTCTGACGGACTGGTTGAGGGAGGAAGGTTTCGTGAAGTCACTGCTGGAGCCGTGTGTGTGGCTCCGCAGGGACGAGGTGGGCGCACTCCGCGGCCTAGTGTTGATTGAGGTCGATGATCTCATCATCACGGGAAAGCCAGCTTTCATGGATCAGTTCAAGGAACGAGTCACTAGCAGGTTTAAGTTTGGAAAGTGGAAGGAGGGAGAGTCGGATTTTGCCGGGCGCCATATTAGACAGTTTCACGATCGAGTGGTGGTTGACCAGGAGAAGTATATACGAGAGCAATTGACCGTGTTACCTCTCGATCGCTCTCGGCGGTCCGATCCGGACGCCACTCTTACCCCCGGAGAGATCCGCTCGTACCGAGCCGTGGTTGCCCAGGTACAGTGGGTGGCACGTGAGTCTCGACCTGACGTCGCGGGCGGCGCCTCGATACTGGCGGGAGCCATGCCAACGCCTAAGGTCAGCGATGCTATCACTCTCATTCGAGTTTGCAAGTACTTGAAGGCCACCGCGTCCCAGAAACTTACGGTGTGGGCCCTGGACCCTCTTTCTCTTTGTTTCGTTACCGCTTCGGACGCGTCTGGACCCGGGTCCGCGAGTCGAGGAGGCTCCCAGGGAGCCTGGTTGGTTATGACTGCCGACGCGTCGATACGATCGAACCGACGGGCCCGTGTTTCGGTGCTAGCTTGGAGATCTCAGAGGCTTAAGAGGGTGATTAGGGGGGCCATCGCTGAGGCCCAGTGGTTGCAAGTTCTCTGGCGGGACGCCGTGTTCGGCGACGTGAGTCTCCCCCACTGGAGCCTGGAGGCCTCGCCCTTCTCTGTTGTGATGTCTAGCGCCTGCCAGCTGAGGAATCAGGCAGCGGCCCTGGCCGTGGTGGACGCCAAATCTGTGTTCGATACCCTTTCCAGGAACGCCGCTGGGTCCCGGGCCGACAGGAGAAACGCAATCGAACTCGCGGTGATCCGCGATTCCCTGGCCGCCACCGGATCCCAAGTAAGATGGCTCCCACGCGGTAGAATGCCCGCGGACCCCGTTACCCACTCCGATCCCTCCAAATCCAATCTCGCTCTCCATGACCTTCTCTGTCGCGGAACGCTGTGCCTAGTAGACGAGGGAGGACACTTGGACGAAAGGTCCTTGAATATTTCTCTGAAGTCGAGGTCTCGCGGCGCCAGCCGAAAAGCCCTTATTGAGGAGGCTCGAAGGAGAGACGAGGAAGGAGACGAGGGAAGGGAAGCTGCCCAGGAGAGGAAAGAAGAGGCCTCTGAGGAGGAATGAGATAGGGGGGAGGAGGAGAACGAGGAGGAGGGGAGGACGCCCGTGCCGAGGAAGGCTCGCGCGCCCCAGGACTCTGCATCCTGGTGTACAGCCAGATCACAGGCGCGACCCCCGTTGACCGACCCAGCGTATGTTACCGTGTCGAACCCGGTAAAGTTGGGTCCGCTGTCCTCGCCAGGGTCCTGTGGAGTCCCCTGTTGTCCCTCTTCTCTCCCCCTCCCTTCGCGTTCGACGTTTGCCAGCCACTTTGGCTGAGGGTGCGACTCTCTCGAGTCACCAGGAGAGCGTTGCGAGGCGTTCTGATAAACAAGTTTATCTCCCCTCACCTCCTTTGTTGTGCACTGGGCCTGCTCATCCTGCGACAGCTCCTCCTCTCGCCTTTCGACTAGACGTACGAGTGACCTTTCGCCGGAGGGACCCTTGGGTGCGGGGACCGATGGGTCCCCAGATGGCCGAAAACGAAGCAGCAGCAGCTACTTGCGCGCCCAGGTCTGGCCCCCCGCGGCACCCAAAAAGTCGCGCACCAAAGGTCATTCTCACCCAGGGTCACTCTTGCGTATAGCCGAGCCTTGGACTCCCGCCTCCTCTTGCACCCCCCCCCCCCCCCCCCACCGCCTCCCCCTCCTCCCCCTCTCTCTCCTCTCGCCTTCGACTCCCTCCTCCCTCTCTCGTCCTTCCCTCCTGGGCCTCCCCCTCGCCCCTCCTTCCCCCTCCGTCCTCTTCTGTGACTGCCCCTCGCACCGGTTCCCACCCTTCCTGCCCCTCAACCTCCTGGTCATGCCGCTCCTCTCCTTGCTCTTGCGCCTCATCTTTCTCTTTGTCCTCAAAGTTTCCTCCAGAGGCAAACAAGAATGATCAAGGCATGCTCAGCACTCGAAGCTCGATCCTCCTCCCCTGCTTTTCCCTCCCTCCCCCCTCCCTCCCTCCTCATCCCTCCCTCACTTCTCCACCCTCCCACCCACCCTCCCTCCCATCCTCCTCCCTCCCTCTCTCTGCTCGTCCCTCGACCTTCCACTCTCCTTCTTGAGAGTCTCCCTCCCGCCCGCCCTCATCGTCCGTCGCTCCCTCGTCGTCCCTCTCTCCCTCATCCCCCCTCCCTCCTGCCTGCCTCCCTCCCTCCCTCCCCGCCGCCGCCACGCCCCGAGCGGATGGCGGCGCCGGCGGCACCCGCCGCGGCCGCACCCGCGTCCGCCAAGAAACCGAAGGATGATTCCGTAGGGGACGTCGCCGCCGCCGCCGCCGCTGCTGCAGCCGATGCGATCGTGCTGTCCACGTTTCGCGAGGCCTTTGGACGCTCTCTCTCTCTCTCTCTCTCTCTCTCTTGTCAGGGGCAACCACGGGGGCTGATAGGCGCAGGGGGGGACGCATCGACCCCCGATCGGTCGTTCATCGCCGATAGGGGCCCAGGAGCGTGAGGATTCGCTATCGGGGGACTGTCGCCGCTCAGTCCGCGATATGTGTACATATATATACACATATATATATATATATACAGATCTAGATCTAGATCTAAAATCCGATTCCAGGTTGATGTGTTTCCCCTGTGCCAGTCCCCCCTGTCGTTGCCCGTCGCTGCTGTCGCCCGAAACCTCTGGGTTGCCGCCGACGTCGCCGCCGTCGCTGCCATCATTGGTGTTCGAATGTGTTCCCATGGCTTCTGCTGCTGCGGGGCACTGTCTGGCCTCGTGGGATTTCCTCCTCCCCCTCCTCCCCCTCCTCCTCCTACCTCACCACGTGAGAAATGAAACTGCTGGAAAAAAAACCTCCCTCCTCCTCCTCCCCTCCTCCTCCTCCTCCTCCCCCTCCTCCTCCTCCTCCCCCCTCCTCCTCCTCCTCCTCCTCCTCCTCCTCCTCCTCCTCCTTTCTGTCCGCCGCCGTCGTCGCCACGGCCGGGCGCGGTCCCCACGCCCGGGTCCTCCCCCCCCCCCCGCCGCATCTGCCGGAGCTGGCCTCGGTATACATTCCCTCCAGCGGGCCGCCCTCGCTGTCCGGTTTCCCCCCGCGTTCTTTCCAGCAGTACGGGAGGTGTTGCACCCACGGGGAATCGGCATCGTTAAACCCATCCCCATCCCCATCCCCTATCCGTTGCGAGACGCCCACCAAATTACCATCCCAGTTGGGGATACACCCTTTCAACACCCGAAGGGAACGGCCTATGTCTACATCAAGGGGGGTAAAGCGGCCAGTGGGGCCAAGGCCACGCCTCTGGGGATGGAGATCGGTTAAACGATGCTCATGCCAGACAGTACTGTCGGTGCCGTCAAGGTAGCGTGCGATGCGGCGCCGCCGGCCCGCTTATGACTCGCCATGCTCCACACGCTACGCTACCCCCCCCCCCACCGTTGGGATAGCGTGCGCCGGGGAGGCCCGGGCAGGGGGGATAGCGGGCGCCGACTGGGTCCTCGCAGGGGCTCAGCGTGCGCAGAAGGGGCCCTCTCGGGGGATCGAGTCACCATGATGGCATGCTTTTCGGAGATCGACGCTGCTTGCCAATTATCTCTGCGACGCCAGGCGCTAGATGGACCTCCAACGGGGACGCGCTGGTGCCTACGCGCTTCACCGCCTCCTCGATCGTGCTCCTCCTCCTCCTCTTCCTCCTCCTCCTCGCGCGGACCAGTATCTTATGCGCACCGAGGAGACCAGGCGAAACCCTACGGGGCTCCGAGAAGGCAATTTCCGAAGCCTCGAAGCAGTGCAGCACAATGAGCACAAGCGCAAGCGTTCGCAGCTCCACGCGGATGTCTTGGATCGGTGTTGGCCTCCCTTCAGGAGGGAAATAAACACACAGACACAATGAATCTTCGCTTCCCCAGAAAATACAGGAAAATATGGGAGGTATTCCCGTGCGTCTCCAGACCCCCCGCGTCGAGATGCTCGCCGCAGCGTGGGCTCCAGAGATCTCGACGCCCTCTCCCAGACTCGGCTTGGACTGCAGTTTCGAGCATGCCCTGCTTTTGTTTGCAAGACGGCCCCAGAACCCTCCGCCGCCAGTGGTTCCAGTTCTCTCAGCACCTTTCGCCAGAGGGCTCTCACGGCGCTGCTGGGGCTCTGCAGAGGGAGAGTCCCACGGAGGAAGCGGCCTGGAGGCGCGAGGCCGCCGCCCAGGGACCAACCCGGGCTGTGGAGGTGGTCGGGCAGCCGGTTCGCCCGAGATTTCTCCGCTACGGTCGGTGGTTCAATCGGGCCGGACGAAAGGGGGGGATTGGGAAAGGGGGGGGTACGAAATTTGATGCATGCAGCTGGCTTCGGCCCCACCGAGGGGCCCATGCCTCGATACATGGACGCCTCCCGGCGCCCGGAGGCGCCGGGAGAATCAGCTACGTGAGCTGATTCTCAAACCCCCCCTTTGCTATCCCCCCCTTTCGCCCGACCCGATTCAAGGATGGAATCCTGAGGGATGGAGGCCTGAGGATAGAATGGTCGGGGGTGGACAGACCTCCTACCCTGACACGTCGATTCGGGAATTGTCCGTTTTCGGTTCTCGAGAGGGCGCCGCGGCCGTCATTTTCCAGGCTTGCGCCCGCCAGGTTTGGGCCCGAGGTCGGTTTCACTAAACCGCGCTTTACTAAAGGGAGGTCTGTCCATCCCCGAAATGGGATCCAAGGGTGGATTTACATTGTTTGGGGCACATCGTCCTCAGGACCCCATCCTTCAGAGCCCCACCTGTGACCCGATATCGATTCGGGACCCGTGTTCTCGCCTTGAAGCCAGCTGGATGTTTGCTTGGACGGCGACGGTCCCGGACATGAAGGTGCACAGGGCCGTGCTTTCACACCTGTTCCGAACTGCCGCCCTCCTGGTCCTCGACCCGCCTCTTCACCTTTGCTGGCAGCAGGGCGCGGTGCTGGTTAGGGTGCTCCGCTCGGGGACATGTTGTGTCACAACGCGAGGAGGGGGCGTGGGTCATGCCCACCCCCTCCCTTCCTTGCGTTATATCTATAGTTCTATGTATATGGATATTGAAATGTATTAACTCGTGTATATATATATATATGTATATGTATATATATTCATTTTTACAGATAGTAGGAACTCATACACAATAAGCAAAAAAGGTCCGGCTATAATCACAGGCCATCGGGCCCGCTCGCCCCCCCTCGGGATAGCCTGACCTCGTCGCGCTGGCTGGTCCGAGGGGGTGCGCGGGCAGGTGGGGCGCGCGGGGGCAGACGTGGGGCTGCCCACAGCGAAAGATGTGGGGTCCTCGGCCCCCCCCTCCCTTTCCCTAGGGGAACAAAAAGTGACATAAACATAAAAACTCGGAGGTCCGCGCAGAGTTCTCGGATCGGTGCTGGGAACCCCCGGCGCCGCCCCTGGCGCGCTCCGCGCGCCAGGGAGGGGGATCCAGCGCCGATCCGAGAAATCCGCGCGGACCTCCGAGTTTTTATGTTTATGTCACTTTTTGTTCCGCTATTCCCCCACCGGATGACCGGCGCCATCGCCGAAGCCACCAAGACGACCCCCTTTCCCTGCATCTCCCTGCCTCCCCCTCCTGGCATCCCCGCGGCCGCGGCGCGCCCCCCCCCTTGCGCGGCGGCAGGAGCCGCGGCCCAGCGTCGCCGCCCAGAACCGGCGGCGGCAGAGGACGGCCGCGGCCGCGGCGGCGCCGACGAGACGCAAGAGTGACCGGTGGCTGCGGAGGGCCCCGCTGAGCCGCAGAGGGCCCACGTCGACTGCGCACACGTGAGGTGGGGGGGTTTGGGGGCGGTTGGGTTGGGGGGGGTCGCTCTGAGTCTTATGTCGGGCGTGTCCCCCTACAGGGGGATTTTCGACGAAAACTGAAAAAAATACTCCAAAAATAGTCTGGGGATTTATTTCTTGAGCATTTTTTTTGTCTACTTTGGGGTATTGTTGGAGTATTTTTCATTTTGCGTCGAAAATCCCCCTGTAGGGGGACACGCCCGACATAATTTTAGTCAAGGGAGGAAAAGCCACCCGGGCCGGACAGTTGGCGTTGACTACGCGGCCCTGGGCGTTTGCGAAACAGCCCTGCCCTGTTCGAGATCCCTCCTCTGGGCGCGTGGACGGAAAGCCTCGCGGGTCGGGGCTGGTTCCTATCGGGGTGGATGTGTTGCCCTCTGTTTCGGGGAAGGCCACCGCCACGCGGAAGGCGCCAACCTCCCCCAAGCCCCCCCCCCCAACGCGCGGCGGGACGCCCCCCCCCCCCCCCCCGCGGGCGGCTCCCCGCCCCCCGCGCGCGCGCAGGAGGGGCCCCTCTCGCCGCAGCGGCGGCCCGCGGCGCGGGCCCCCCCGGGGGGTCGCCGAGGGCGCGAGAAGCGGCAGCAGGCGGCCTGCGCGCCCGGGTTGGGCCGCCCTGCGCCCCCCCCCGTGGTCCGCGCAGCGGGGCTCGCCGGTGCCCAGGGTCGACGAACGAGCAACACACACGCATACCCATAGGGGGGTCGTTGAGAGGAGGACTGGCTATGGGTATGGGTGCGGGTTGTCGGACCCTGGGGAACGCTCCCGCTCGAGCGGGGACCATCCGACAACACGCACCCATAGCCCTCTCCGACCCCCCTATGGGTATGGGTGTGTGTTGTTGGTTCGTCAAGGGTCGGGTCGGGCGCGTCTCTCCACAGGAGGAAATGTTCAGAGATAGTCCCAAAGCTGGTCGGGGAGCGAGCTTCTGACTATGTCTGACCATTCGGGGGGCATGTTCTGACCATTCTCAATTTTCAGAGATAGTCCAAAACTGGTCGGGGAAGGAGCTTCTGACGATGTCTAGCCATTCGGGGGGCATGTTCTGACCATTCCTCATTTTCCGCCCAAGGTCCCTCTGTAAGGGGGGGCACGCCCGACGTCAGCCTAGGGTCACCCCTGCGTGCAGCCGACGGAGGGAGAGGGGCGGAGGATCTCGGGAAGGGAACAGCAGCACAGACCTACAAATGCTGATGGCACAGATGGGGCATGGCGGCGAAGAGGACCATGTACTGCCCTGGCCTGTGTGCAGTCTTCTTTGTAACCCTCCCTGGCCCCGTTGGGATCGAGGAAAGAACCAAAACCTCGTGCACAGAAATCTTCGGAGGTCCGCACGGTTTTCTCAATTCTGCTCTGGCCGCCCAGACTGGGCGGCGCCTCCGACGCCCCCCCCCCTTGCGCGCTCCGCGCGCCGGGGAGGCGGGCCCAGCGCCGATCCAAAGAATCCGAGAGGACCTCCGCAAAATAATACAGTACCGTTTTTAATACATGCTCCGCGCGCGGATCATGTATTAAAAATGCAGGGATTTAGTATACAAGCAACACTGAATTCATGCATAATTTGTTCATAAATTTATCATGTATATAAGATCATGTATGCTTAAAAATCCTATGTATTGAAATTGCCCTGTATGTATGCCGAGCTCTGTTTCTCTCGAGGAGGAGGGAGGCTGCTGCAGGAGGAGGAGGATCGAAATCGTGAGTGTCCTTGAACCTTTCCTCAGCGGCGCGCCGAGGGGGGAAGTGAGAGGGGGCAGACGTACCCATACCGCTCCCTTGCGTCCGTTTCCGGCCTTCCGGGAGGCCTTTGTCGTCACCGCAGGCTTCGCTTCGGAGTCTTGGTCAGCACGCACCCCGGGAGAGGTCTGTGGAGTAGCGGCATTGGTATTTCTTGCTGGCCCCAGAAACGGAGGAGCGAGAGGGGGCAGGCCTTCTGAGAAACCCCCGGTGGCTTCGGAGAGCGCCCAGGAATTGGAGTGTGTGTTGGGTCTGTCTGGCCGGGGCGGGATTAACCCAATATCACCGCTTAAGGGATCGGTTTTCGAACACGCCAGGCGGTGGATACTCAGGCCCTGGAAGGGGGCCAGGAACATTAAGACCCACCGCGTGCCGCAGCGGAAGCCCATGCCAAGAAACACCCTGCTTGTCTCCAGGGTGCCTTGGGTTTCTTGGGTTTCGATGGTTTTGCTGTGGAGGGCGTGGCGTTCCCACCCCACAATTCCATGAACGTCCTGGGGCATCAGCGTTGGGTTTCTTGTGGAAGGTTTCCTGTGGACTGGCCTCCACTGTACTCGCTAGCAGGTAGTTTGGAAAGTTGCCGACAGTTGCCACTTTGGGGCCTGCCTCTGGCATCGCAGCGCTGCCCACATCGGGGAGGGTCGGATTCGCCGGGCCACTGGCCAGGGTGCCCGTCGGTGGAGCCCCTGTTCGAGGGGCGCTGCAGTTCCTGCTCTGATATTTTTTGGTCTCCGGGGACTGCGCCAGATCCGAGAAGACCGCCCGAGGTCCTGAGATGTTCAGGAGGGGAAAAAACACACAAACAAAATTAATCGTCGATTCCCCAGAAAGTATGGGAAAATATGGGAAGTGGGGGGGAGACAAAAACCCAGAAAACATGGGAAAATATGAGAATCTGTTTATTTGTGTCTATTTATTTGTGTGTCCCAGGGCCCCTTCAGATGTTTCTGCTGGCGCGGGCCTCCCGAGGCTCCAGGCTGGGCCCCGGGACCGTCTCGGCAGGAATCGGCGGGGGAGCGTTGGTCCAGGAGGAAGTCCCGGGTCCCAGGGCCCGTCTCGTCCAGGACCGGGTCAGGGCTAACTCGGGTTCGTTTTTCGGGAATCCGAGCCCGAGTTGCCCCGGGCTCGAGTTACCCCGGATAACTCGGGCGTCCAGAGCCCCAAATCATCAGGGATAATTCGGGTCAGGGCTAACTCTGGTTCGTTTTTCGGGAATCAAACCCGAGTTACCCCGGGCCCGAGTTACCCCGGATAACTCGGGCGCCCAATTCATGGTAAGACTGAGTCTGGCACGTCCCTCCACAGGAGTGACACTCAGGGATAGTAGAACATATCTGGGGCCCGAGGTGTCGTGCTCTTTTGACAATGTTTGATTATTGCTTGTCGATGTGTTGTGTTCTTCCCAAATCCGCCTGTAGGAGGACATGCCCGACCGAAACTCGCTCAGTACCACCGCCCTGCATGGAACGGTATATGTCTTTGCTTGCCCACCCTCCCAGCTACCTCGCCGACTGCGCCATCATGTGTTCGTGAGGAGCAGTCGGTTAAGGGACCTCAGAGCTCAGTTGCGCCATGCGTCAACGGCACCCACAGCACCCTCTAGTCAACAGCACCCACGAGGTCATATGTTCTCCCACAGCATTGCATCGATTGCCGTCCTTGGCGAGCAAGGTACCGCGAGTTCATTGGACCAGACCTTGCAGTGCAGATATCCATCCTATGTACCCCTCGAGCTGGCGTGATGCGTGCATATGATGTTCCACACGTCGTGTGCCGTCTCTCCCGCTTGCTTCTGTTCAGGATTCGCGCCGAGCTGCAAACGAAGGCGCGCCTGGGAAAGGATGTGAGGCAGAAGCAGAGGGTGACAGAGCCGTGGCCGCAACCGTGGTGACCTTCAAGTTGAAGCGTGCAATGCGTTTGGCAATCCTTCATTTCGCGCACCCTGCTACTCGGCTTCCTCGAGTGTGCAACCGGAAGGAGGGTGCACACGACGTGGCCAACCTGGGCGCGAGTCCCCCAAGGGGAAGAAGGGGGTTGGAAGAGAAAGCATTCTAGACCACATTTGAATACGAAACGCGCTCTCGCGTTGGACTTCCTTGCCATCTCTTCAGACGTCGCACCCTCGACACTCAGGAATCACGCTATCGCTGCGGATGTCCTGACGATGTATTCGGGAATCACGCCATCGTTCAAGACTTCCTCGCGAGTCATGCATGACGCACGCTTCAGCAACCCGCCTGCTCGACCTGGCCGCCTGGGCTCGCCTTCCCGACCCGCCCGTTAGGCTGTACCCCCCCGATTTGCCCGTTTGGTTCTGCCACGTGTTGTCTGCCCCTAGCCCCACTTCTGCTACTCTCTCTCTCTCTCTCTCTTCCCCCGTGTCCCTTCCTTCCATCCGTCCTCTCTTCCCCTGCCATAGGGGCTGCACGAAAAACATTTTGCATGTAAGAAAGATATATACTCCCAAGGGGGTACGATCGAAGACGAAAAGGGCGGGTCTCGAAGGTTTTGGGATAGACGTGTTGACTGGCCCGCGAGCAGTTAAGAGCGAACAGTCTCAACATGATTGTGCTTGTTGTTGCTGTTGCTGCTGTTGTTGCTGTGGTCGCTGTGGATGGCGATGATGATGTTGTTGGTGGTGGTGTTGGTGTTGTGTTTGTTGTATGCTGTGTGCTTTGCGTTGTGTGTTGTGTGTTGTTTGTTGTTTGTTGTCGTCGCCTCTCCCGCGACCCACTGGCGACCCGCCCGCGACCCGGCCCGCGACCCACCCGCGACCCCTTTGCGAGCCACCCCACGACCCGCCCGCGACCCACCCGCGACCCGCGACCTGGCCCGCGACGCACCCGCGACTCACCCGCGACCCACCCGCGACCAACCCGCGATCCACCCCTCGACCCACCCACATTGTTTTCACCAAAAATCGGCGCCTGCGGCGATCTCGTTGTACATTTTGTAAAATGTAAGCCCCTGCGGCGGGTTTCTTCAGAGCCTGGCCGACTGCCAACGTCCCCTCCGCCCCACTCTTATCCGCAGCTGCGGGGTGCTACGTGTAAGTGGGACCAGCACGGGAGGCTCAAGAAAGGCGCCCGAGTCCATCTCAAGGCATGGTGGAAGATTGGGTGTCTGACCACTTTCGCTGGGCTGCGAGGTAACTCTTGCGATGAGCCCCACGAGGCGCAAGAGCGCCCAGAACTCTGGTGCGCTCAGACGTGAGCGCGCTCCACGCAGTGCCTGCAGCACGGTGGCGGATACTCTCCATTCCGTAGTCAAGTTGGGAGATCGGATTCTTTTTTGGGGGGATCTGATTTGACCTGTGTTGGAAGGCTCCGGGGGGTCTGGGCGAAAGGCCGCATTTTCACAGCTGGTCTCGGGGGGGGGGGTCTGAAACAGCCCGTCTGGCAGGCATCAGCCCCTCTCCTTTCTTGCGGAATAGAGGGTACAGTCAACCCGCATAGGAAGGATGGGCAACCTTCCCAAGGGTACCCGTGCATCCTTGCCTCATCGGGCCATCCTCGGCCGCTCTTGCTGGCCGGCGCCCCGGCCGCGAAGTGTCGAAACGGCCTTCCGAGGCCCTCGCATCCTGAGCATGCGTGCGTCCTTCTGCTACGGGCTGCCTGTATGCCGCGGGGCCCTCTGGCGCTGCAGACCCCAGACCCCCGACGTCGTGCTTTGTTCATCGCGTCGACCCCTGGAGGTCTCGACCCCTTCCCCTGGACCGGTGTTCCATGCTGAGTCGTTTTGCAGCCGTCCCGAGGGCCGAGAAAGGCCCCCGGAGGCTGAGAATAGGAGCAACCTCCCGTCGTGATGTGTTGTTTTTGTTCATCCTGAGTCGTTTTCCATCCTGAGTCGTTTTGCAGCCGTCCCGAGGGCCGATAAAAGGCCCCCAGAGGCCGAGAATAGGAGAGAAACCTCCCGTCGTGATGTGTTTTTTGTTTTCCCTACCCCGAGGGCCGATAAAGGCCCCCAGAGGCCAGCAATAGGAGAAACACCTCCCGTCGTGATGTGTTTTTTGGTTTCCCTACCCCGAGGGCCGATGAAGGCCCCCAGAGGCCGAAAATAAGAGAGCAACTTCCCGTCGTGATGTGTTTTTTGTTTTCCCTACCCCAGGGGGTCTGGGAAGGGAGCCGGGGCCAGATGCCGCGCGCCGCGCGGGCCCGGGCGCTCCCGCCGAGCCTCCAGCAGTGGCGAGAAGCGTCCTGGCTCGCCTGTAGCTCCACCAAGCAATGTTCTGAGAACCGTTCGTGGTTTCCACGACATGTTCTCAGAGCATTGCTGGCGGAGCCTGTCTTGTCTGAACACATCGGGTGCATGTTCTAAGAACCTTGTTCTTGTTCTTAGAACATTTTTGGGTTCTAAGAACATTTCGTGGTACAGTCGGGGCCCTGAAGAAGGAACCCTTTTCGTCGGGGAGGGGCTCCGCGTTCCTTGAGTGTTTCGCAGCTTGCCTCAGGGTGTCCTAGTGTTTTCGATGGGAAATCGAAGGTTGACTTGTGGAAAGAAGGGGCCTCGTTCCTTATTTAGAGTTCCTTAGGTCAACGCCCCGACGGTAGGACTACAGGAGTGCCGGGACGGTCGGTCCCTGCTCACGGGCCCCCCCGCGCGCCCCGGCGGGGGCTGCCGGCGGAGGGCGCCTCGTCGCTCCCAGCCCACAGCCGCCGCCGAGTGCCCGGAGCGTGCGCCGAGGGCCGGTCCCCCGAGCCCCGCCTCCTCCTCCTCCTCCTCCTCCTCCTCCTCCTCCTCCTCCTCCTCCTCCTCCTCCTCCTCCTCCTCCCCCTCCTGGGCTCACTGAGAATCGCAATCAGGAGGGGAAAAACACACACACACACAGGCACAAGTAAGCGTCGATCTCCCAGGAAAAGATGGGAAAGTATGGGAAGTGGGGGGGGGGAAGACGAAAACCCAGAAAAGATTGGGAAATACGGGAAATCTTTTTGTTTGTGTGTATTCATTTGCGTGTCCCATCCCAGCCCACAGCCGCCGCCGAGTGCCAGGAGCGTGCGCCGAGAGCCGGTCCCCCGAGCCCCGCCCCCTGGGCTCACCGAGAATACACTGCGAGCAGTCTTGCTGTCCATATCCACTGCAGTATGCTTCGGGACCCCTTCCCCCAGAAAGCCGAGGCGCACTGGACATGGATAAACTTGCCCTCTAGAGGCTCGATGTTTATCCATGTCCAGTGCAGCTCGGCCTTGTGGCGCCCCTTCCCAAACAATCGAAGGCGCACGGGATATGGATATAATTCTTACCCACAGCCGCGACAAAAGTTTCTTCAATTTGCTATGCTGAAGATCTCTCCCATTCCTCTCACGATTCCTAACATGGCATGATGCTGGGATCATTCGGCGGAGTAGTTTCCTATCCAGGAGACGTTAGTAACTCCCCGCGCCAAACCATATAAATTATGGAGCGGGATGCGATTGCGCGCGGAGTAGTTGTAGTAAAACTACTCCGAACCACTCCGCACGAGCGCGTCACTCCAAAAGGCAATTTGAAAGAGACTTTCGTCACGGCGATGTCACAATCAGGAGGGGAAGAAACACACAGACACAAGTAATCGTCGATCCCCAGGAAAATGTGGGAAAATATGGGAAGTGGGGGGGAAGACAAGAACCCAGAAAATATGGGAAAATATGGGGAATCGTTTTTTTGCGTGTATTTTTGTGTGTGCCCCAGGGCCCCTTCAGATAATCGGGGCGCAACCCAGACATGATCGCGTCGTAAAACATGCAGGACGGAGGTTTTTCATTATTTTCGGCCCTTGGTGGCCCTCGCCGGGCCCGGGGCCGTCAAAGAACGACTCAGGATGAAAAACCGGCCTTGGGGAAAGGGTCTGGACTTCCGGGGACGCCGTACTGAAAAAATCAGGACGTCGCATGTCTGGGAAGGGACGGGGGTCAATGCAAACGGGGGTCAGCCAGAGCGCCGGATCTCGCATGATCTCGCAGGGCCAGGGCCGCACTGGCCCGGGCTTGGGTACAGGATCCTGCAGGATGTTACAGGATCCTTCGCATGGACCCGGGCTTGGATGCAGGATCTTGCAGGATTTTGAAGGATTCTGCAAGGCCTGACTGACCCTGGTCTGGATTGACCCGGAAAAACCCTAACCTTGATAACATAGTGAAGTCGTGGCCTCACTGAGGCCCGCGTCTTGTCAGTGGGGCCTCAGCGAGACATCATCAAAACATCTTATCCCCACTGTTCCTGGCCCTCCCAGCACAGGTCCCCTCCCACCGGGTTGGGGGCCCTGTCTTGGTGAATGACAGGTTGCATCCCCGGCTCCGGCCCCCCGAGTGCCCTGGCGTCGCTCGGACGTGTGCACTGTTCCTTTGCCGGCGAGGCCGGCACCAGGCAACGTGGACCCTCCCGGAGCATCTTGGATCGCCTCCTGTGAGAAAGGACACCTCTTTCCCGTCGTGGCGCGGCGGGGGCAGTCCGCACGCGCGCGCTCGGCAAGCCAGGCGACGGCACTGCGAGCCTCAAGCAGTGGCGAAGCGTCCTGGCGTGCTCGTTGGCCCACCAAACGATGTTCTAAGAAGCGTGTGTGGTTCCTACGACATGCTCCTAGAACATCTCTGGCCGATGGCATCTTTTACTTTGTTTTAACACATCGGCTTTAGTTTCTGAGAGCACTGTCTTCGTTCTTAGAACATCTGTGGGTTCTACGAACGTTCCGTGGATGGCCTATAGGGATGCCGGGCCGGTCGGTCCCTACTCAAACGGTGCGGTGGCAACACCGTGTGGTGAGTCAGTGGGTCCAGGCCTCGTAGATGGGGTCCGAGGGATGTCCAACAGCTATTTCAAAAATGATGCCCCCCCCTCCCCCACCTCACGATGGCGGTCGCGGGGACGTCCCTGGCGGTCTGGTCTGCCCCGCCTTCATTTTGTTTTTCATTTGCGCACTACAACGCTGGGAATAACTCTTTGAATTGTCCCCCCAGGTTGTTTTGCTCCCGTAATTGTTTTTAGACGTCAGATGGGGTTGGAGGATCGTGCCACATCGCGCATCGTCATTGTATCGGCGATGAGCCTCGATGTGGAGCCTAATTTTCTCGACGCCGACGTCGCCGATGCACCGCCGACGTCGCCGATGCATCGGTGCTGCATCGCCGATGCACCGGCGATGCTGCGAGGTCCTTCGACCCCATCCACCCGGACCCCATCAGGGAGGCTTCTGGTGTGGATCTTGGGTCGCCGCATTGTTCTGGGACTCCGGACCGTTGTCGCAGGCGCTCCCCCACTGAGGCCGACGGGGATGGGGGGCAAGGTCCGCGTGAGGGGTGTGCCGCAGTGGGCTGAGGCCCGCATGCGCGCCCCCCTCACTGCGGCCGTAGGTGGAGCTCCCCATGGTCACACATGGGTACCCTTCCCCAAGACCTTCCAGAGTGCTCAAGGATGGCCAGCCCTCCAGACCTACAGAGCTATCAACACAACCTCGACTCAAACTTAGTTTAACACGTACTGGTGTGCTTTCTCGACCATCTTGTGGTGCTTGGTCATCGTTTTGGAATCTGCACGCTTCGCGTATCCCCACCATCCGCCTCGCCTGCTGGCCCAGACGACGCCTACCGCTCCCTGTCCGCTGCCTCGGAGCCGCCGACCAAAAAGTATCCCCACCATCCTAGTATTCGGACGGCTTTCGACCCGCCTCGCGAGCCTGTTGACCAAAAAGTATCCCACCAACCATCCACTTGAAAAACCCTGCCGATGAAAGTTGATGGTACCAGGGACGAAGAGACACATGTAGTGAAACAGTGCGGGCAACCAGGTTGAACAGAGAGGTCTGGGAGCAAGGGTATTACCTTGGAGGGTCTCTTTGGGCCATCCTTGGGGCCCGCGCTGGGGCGAGGGAAGGAGGAGGAGGCGGAGAAAGAAAGGGAGGGAGAAGAAGAAGAAGAAGACGACGACGACGAGGAAGAGCACAAGGAACAAGAAGACGATGCGGGCAAGGATGAGGAGGAGGAGGAGGACAACGAGAACAAGGACATAACCTTTTGCAGCCCTCTTGGGACTCTTGTTGGGGGGTCTAGGGGTCCTCTTGGGCTTCTCTTTGGAATCTTAGAGTCCTCTTGGGGTCCTCTTGGGGCCCTCTTGGGGGCCCTGGAGGCCTCTTGGGTGGCCTCTTGAGGTCATCTTGGAGGCCATCGATGTTGCCCCCCCACCCCACCCCCTCTGGTCGTCACAATCGCCTCTTGGGGCGCTCTTGGGACGCGCTTGGGCCGATCTTGGTCGCTCTTGGTGCCTTCTGGGGGGCCTCTTGGGCACCTCTTGGACCTCCTCAGAAGCGTACCGGAAGCGACAAGGCGAGAAGTCAAAAGTCAGTGATGTTCCCCATCTGTTCGGTTGATGTTGGCCTCATGGGGGTTCTTAGGAGTTTGAAGTGTATTGGCCTCGTGGGGGGTCCTGATGGGAGCTCCACGAGCACTTGGAACCGTCTTGTGGCCCTCGTCGGGCCTCTTGGAGGTACTTTGGAAATTATCTTAAACCATCGCCAGCTATCTTGAGCCATCTTGGAGCATCGGAGGCCCTCATGGAGCCATCTTTGGCGCTCTGACCGATCGCGCCCCCCCCAGAAAACCCCCGGAAAGAAAAACGTGTTTTGGAAGAGGAAAGGAAGAATCCTTGAGACGATGTTCGCCTGAAGGGCTGGTAAGAGTCGCAGCGCCACGCCCAACTCCTTCCCGCTGCCCCCTCCCCGTCCTCTCATCCATGTCGCTGCCCTCCGCAGGAGTATCTCGACGCACCCCTCTGACGCTTCGTGGCCCCACATGGAGCTCCACCCGATGCCCCGGTGGCAGAGCCCGCATGGCGGCACCGCCGCGTCTTGGCACACCCCACACGTTTCGTGGCCTCATGGGGAGCTCCACCGAAGGTCCAATCGCCCCGTCACACCCCTTTATACGTTCGCTCCATGTTGGCTCACCTCTCGCACGCTTCGTGGCTCCACAGGGAGCCCCGCCAGATGCCCCAGTGGTAGCGCCCGCATGGCGTCACAGTCCAACCTTGGCATGCAGAGGGGGCCCATGCCAAGAAGCACCCTGTTTGCCAGGGGAACCATGCCAGGGTCCCCTGGTTTTTTGGCGTTTCGATGGTTTTGCGATGGAAAGAGACTTCTGCGTTGCCCAAAACAGGGGAGCTCCACCGAAGGGCCGAGCGGCCGCGGCCGAATGGCGGCGCTGCCCCATCTCCGCACACACAACCCACACACGTGCTGCCCCCATACAGCAGAGGCCAGCCCACAAGAAACCTCCCACAAGAAACCCAACCCTGAGACCCCAGGACGTCCATTGATTTTTGGTGGGAAAGTCGCGCTGTCCGCAGCAACAACTTCGAAACCCGAAAGAAGCTGCCAGGGAACCCTGGAGGCAATCAGGCTGCTTCTTGGCGTGGTTCTCCACCGTAGTGAGCTCCCCACTTCTTCGCCTCGCCCGCATTTGTGGCACTGGCGCCCGCAGATGGTTGGGTCCTGCTCCTACATCATGCTCGGCCCTCCTAGAATGGCCTTGGCATCGCTCGGACGTGTGCATGTTCCCTTCGGCGAGGACCATCGAGGAGCATCCTTGATCATTCGGCGAAACGACCACGCACGAAACCGAACAAAAACACGGGGAATGGACAACCGAGCGATGGCCAGTGGCAGCCCCTCCTCCTCCTCCTGCTCCTCCTCTTCCTCCTCCTCCTCCGCCTCCTCCTCCTCCTCCTCCTCCTCCTCCTCCTCCTCCTCCTCCTCCTCCTCCTCCTCCTCCTCCTCCTCCTCCTCCTCCTCCTCCTCCTCCTCCTCCTCCTCCTCCTCCTCCTCCTCCTCCTCCTCCTCCTCCCTCCTCCTCTCCTCCTCCCCTCCCCCCGCGAGAGGCGGTGAGCGAGGCGAGGTCTGGGCGCTGCAGCAGCAGCTGCTGGCGCCCGGCGCACCGGAGGACCTCATGCGGGCGGCCCGCCCGCCTGCTGGAGGCCCATCGCCCCTCCTCTCGGCGGTGCGGGGCCCTGCCCCGCCTCGTCTGCGGGGAGGAGGGGGAGGGGGGGGGAGGAGGAGGAGAGGAGGAGGAGGAGGAGGAGGAGGAGGATAGGAGGAGGAGGAGGGAGGAGGAGGAGGAGGAGGAGGAGGAGGAGGAGGAGGAGGAGGAGAGGAGGAGGAGGAGGAGGAGGAGGAGGAGGAGGAGGAGGGGAGGAGGAGGGGGAGGAGGAGGAGGAGGAGGAGGAGGAGGAGGAGGAGGGAGGAGGAGGCGGAGGAGGAGGAGGAGGAGGAGGAGGAGAGAGGGAGGAGGAGGAGGAGGAGGAGGAGGAGGATGGGGGAGGAGGGGGAGGAGGAGGAGGAGGAGGAGGAGGAGGAGGAGGAGGAGGAGGAGGAGGAGGAGGAGGAGGAGGAGGAGGAGGAGGAGGAGGAGGAGGAGGAGGAGGAAGGAGGAGAGATGGAGGAGGAGGAGGAGGAGGAGGAGGAGGAGGAGGAGGGGGGGAGGAGGAGGGGAGGAGGAGGAGGAGGTAGGAGGAGGAGGAGGAGGAGGAGGAGGAGGAGGAGGAGGAGGAGGAGGAGGGGAGGAGGAGGAGGAGGAGGAGGAGGAGGAGGGAGGAGGGGGAGGAGGAGGAGGAGGAGGAGGAGGGGGAGGAGGAGGGAGGGGGAGGAAAGGCCCGGGGATTCCGCCACGTGCTGCGCCCTCGTCTGCGGCGCGACCACCGCCGTGGCGTGGGCGAAGTCCTAAAGGGAGGGGTTCCAGGGGAGGGGGGGAGGGCGAGGGAATGAGCGTAAATGGCCTTTTTCGGGTTTCTCCGACGGTTTTTGTATGTTGTTCGGGTTCTTCCCTTTCCCGTCCCAGAAGGGCCATAGACGGCCCAAGAGGCCCCAAAGATCAGCCTCGTCTGCGGCGCGACCACCGGGGCCAGCCTCAGGACGCGCAGCCCTAAGCTTAAGGCGGGCCTGTCCCCCTACAGGGGGATTTTCGACGAAAATAAAAAGACACCCAAAAATAGTCAAACAATAGTCGAAAAATCGTATGCGGACATTTTTTTTGTATTTTTGTTTGGGGGGGCATTTTTTTGTAATTTTCATTTTCCGTCGAACGAACGAACGAAATTGGTACGGAAAGAATGGGCACAATGCCCAACAGCAGTTCCTGTTCATTGTGAACAGGACTCGCTGTCCGCGCTGCCGCGGCCTGTGTCCGTTTGAGACAGGAGGTCGCCTGCCCAGCAGCGGCCGCTGTTGGTTTGGGACAACATTTGTTGTTGGGCATTGTGTCCATTCTTTCCGTGCCCATTTCGGGTGTCCAAACAGAACGCGCAGCCCTAAGCCGGGCACGTCCCTCTATGTACAATTGGAAGAAATGCCAGAAGGGTCAAAGAAATAGTACGTTCACGGTTTTTCGACTCATATATATATATACATATCTATTTATATATATATATATATATGAACATATGTAGTTATACACAAATGTATATGTGTATATATGTATGTTTTGAGCATTTAGTGATTATTCTATATTTTCCCTGCGTTGCCCAATCTATGTGCTCTCACCCCGCGCGGCCTGCGCCGACCTTCGCGCCCCCGGGCCTCCCAAAAGCCGCGGTCCGAGTGATTAGGCGGGGCCGGTGATGATCGCACCGCATCGCTCGGTGCATCGGCGACGCGGGGCTCGATGTGGAGGCCGACTTGTGCCACGCCGACGGCGCCGATGCATCCGGGCCCTCCTCCTCCTTCTCCTCTTCCTCCTACTCCTCCTCATCCTCCTCGTCCTTCTCCTCCCCTTCCTCCTCCTCCTCCGCCTCCTCCTCCTCCTCCTTCTCCTCCCCCTCCTCCTCCTCCTCCTCCGCCTATGCCTCCGCCTCCGAGGAGGAGGAGGAGGCGGGGCCAGTGGATCGCACCGCACCGCCGATGCTTCGGCGACGCGGCTCGATGTGGAGGCCGACTTGTGCCACGCCGACGGCGCCGATGCGTCCGGGCCTCCCCACACGGGGTCCGAGGAGGCAGGGCTGGTGGATCGCACCGCACCGCCGATGCATCGGCGATGCAGCGCGATCTTCCAAACCCATTTGCTCGTACCCCATTGGAGGCCTCCAGATGGACCGCCTGCGTCGTATTGACGGGCTTCGGTGGATAAGCACGCGTTCGGCAGGCCAGCCACAACTGGGGGAGCTGTAGTCCTTACCCCCCTGGGGGACCCATCGATTTCGACACCCCTCTCGAGAGATCGTCGACGCGATGGGTTCCCCCAGGGGGGTAAGGACCACAGCTCCCCCAGTTATGGCTGGTCGGTTCGGCCCTAAGACGCGTTCTGGGGACCATCGAGACCGCTAGCGAACCCTGCCCTGGGTCCAATCTACACGTCCGAGCCCTCGCGGTCTGGGTTCCAGGGCACCCTTGGATACGCGGTCGCATGGGTACGTTCCGCGCTGTCCGCCTCCTCCTCCTCCTTCTCCTCCTCCCTCCTCCTCCTCCTCCTCCTGCCTCCTCCTCCTCCTCCTCCCCCTCCTCCTCCTCCTCCTCCTCCTCATCCTCCTCCTCCTCCCCCTCCTCCTCCTCCTCCTCCCTCCTAACAAGACACCACCACGAGGTTGCGGCCCAAGGGGCCTGGTCCGCGAGGCCGTGGGTACGGAAGTGTCTCCCGCCCGCGAGAAACGCCGCGGGGGTGTCGGGCACGCCAGTTTCACTCGGCTGCCCATGCTCTTCGGATGCCAAACCCCGGCGTGCGCTCCAGAAGTCTCCACCTGCAGCCTGAAGGGGCAGGGTTCGCACGTGGTTGCCTGCTGCCTCGAAGGCCCGAGAATCGCTGCGTTGCGCCTTCGGGGGGCCTTGCCTGGATGGCGGTCTTTTCTTGCATCCGGCGCGAGTTTGACGCGGATTCGGCGCGGATTCGACGCGCTTCCGGCCAGGATTCGATGCGGATTCGGCGCGGATTCGGCGTCGATTCGGTGCGGGTAGTAGCATAACGTGGCAGATAAGGTCACCCGAAGATGCAACACGAGGATCGGCGTTGTCGGACGTTTTTGGCCACATCCCGCCACGGAGGACTGGTTGCACGTCCAGGGCTGGTGTTCGCTGGCCTTTTGCATGTTCTCTTGCTTGGGCTTGTGGTCTGACAGCTGCGCCTCTCCGAGAGCGCTCCCAGAGTGGCCGCTGGAGACACGAGTGGATGACCAGCCAGGTGAGTGATCAAGTGCTCCTGGATGTAACGGGGTCCTTGGGGTGTCTTCCTTGCTCGTGGGGTCCGAAGAGTCCTCCCATACCTCTGGGGCCCTAGAGGTGGCTCAGGATGAGCAGCGGTTCCTGCACGGGCCCCGGGGTCCAGGACCGTTTTACCTCACAGTGCTTCTGCGTCGTGCCGATCTCATTTCGTTCGTCTGATGTTGGTGCCTTTCATTCACCACCTACCAAGCCACCCCAACCCAACCCGAAGGCCTCAATTTGCCCTCCATTTCCAGTGTGGGGGGGTCGGGGAACATCGAAAAAACACATATGGAGCCCATACCCCCCCCCAACCCGAAATTCGGGTCTTCGGGTTGGGTTGGGGTGGTCTGGTAGGTAGTCACTCATACGGTTGTGATCTTCCCAGGAGTGCCCGTGGGAGTTTTTTCTGAGTGGCCGTCGGGGAAGCCGGGAGGGCTTTTAAGAAGCCCTCCAATTTCTTGGGAAGAATGCCGCCCATGGCCCATTGCATTCAAATCTGACGTTTTTGACCGCGCTCAGCTGCCTGCGGCAAGTTCGGCCACCGCGCCAGCGCGGCTCTCAGTGCGATGCCGCCTCGAAGCACTGCCCCCAGAAAGCCGAAGTTTGTGGCACCCTCGTCTGGAATATTTGCGGCTCTCGTAGAGTCGACATGGGCTGCCGTGGGCAGCTACAGGCCCGTTGTGGGAGCCCTTTTCGGGCCATGTTGGGCCGTATTGGAGCCCTTTTGGGCTATCGTGATGCCGTCTTGGGAGCCTCGTGGGGCTCTCCTTTGTCCCTGCCCTCGTCTGTTGAGCACGTTGGCGGATAAATGCGCACAACCCCGTGCCCCCGATAACAAAGGGCCCCCTTTTAACTCCCCGGTGTTGACTATCTCTGGCCAAGACGCTTTTAGTCTGCGGGACACACACATATGTGTACAGTCGGCCCTGATTAGTAGGTCGATCCTGCCGAGTCAAGGGTACCCTTTTGTCCTGCGCCTCGCGACCCATGCCTCCTACATTCCCATGGCAGTGTGCCCCTCGGAAAAGGGTATTTTGTCTTCTCGCGTGTCCTCTCCAATCAAGTCCGACTATATATAGAGGTTTTTATGCAACGCACACACACACATATATATATATATATATACATATATATATATATATATATATATGTATGTATATATATATATATATACACATTGGAGTAGTCCGGGGGAGGGCCCAGAACTGCTGCCTCAGGTTCGCATGGGGGGCCGGGGGGGCTCCAAGAGGGTTCAGAAGGGGCCTTGGACCCCCCCAGAGGCTCCCAAGCTGTCCCAAGAGGCGCCCAAAGCGCTCCAGGTTGTCTGGAAGGTGGCTGAAGAGCGCACTGAGATGGCTTCTGGACGGGCCACGAGCGCTCGAAGACAGCCCAAGACTGCTCCTATACGGCCACGAAGGCATTCAAGACGGCCCAAGAGGCCGCCAAGAAGGCCCTCCAAGGGCAAGAATCAAGCATTTCCGATGGGAAAACGTAAATGTGTTAGATCTGTGTTTTTCAGTCCTACCAGCGGCCGCGACGGCCCCAGAGGCTCCCAAAATGAGCTCCAGACGGCCCAAGAGGCTCCCAAGAGTGCCCCCAGGCGGCCTGAAGAGAGCACAAGAGAGCCCTAACACGGCCCAAGAGAGTACCCAGGAACCCCGAGGGGGCCACCGGAGGTTCCCTACATGGTCGGAGAGGGCCCCCAGAGGGCTCCAGAGGGCCCAAAGACGGGCTCAGGCCCCCATGACGGGCGAAGAGGGGCCCAGAACGGCCGAAGTGGGCTCCCAGAGGGTCCGAAAAAGGCCCACCAGGACTCCCTGAAGACGGTCCAGGAGGCCGCCGAGAAGGCTCCCGGGTGCAAAAAAACGAGCGTTCCCCAGGAACAAAAAAACGTGCACGTCTACAGTGGGGGCCCTGGAGAAGGAACCCTTTTCGTTGGGGAGGGGCTCCGCGTTCCTTAAGTGTTTCACAGCTTGCCACAGGTTTCCCTTATGTCTTCGATCGGAAATAAGAGTTCAACTTCTGGACAAAAGGGGCATCGCTCCTTATTTAAGGGTTCCTTAGGTCAACGCCCCGACTGTATGATGCTCGCCTCTTATGTTCCAGGGGCGGCCACGTCGGCCCCAAAGGCTCCCCTGATCGGCGCCGCGCGGCCCACGAGGCCCCCGAGAGGGGGGCCCCGAGGCAGCCCCAGGGGAGCGCCGAGCAGCGCAGGAGAGTTCCCAAACGGGCCCAGAGAGAGTCCCCAGGGGGGTTCGCGGGAGCCACCGGAGGGTCCCTGCATGGTCGGCGAGGGCTCCACGAGGGCCCCGAGATGGCTCGGCGACCCATGACATGCCGAGAGGGGCCTGGGGGCAGCCGAAATGGGCTCCCAGACGGGCGGCAAAAGGCCCAAGAGGACACCCGCACGAGTAGGCACTCAAGACGGTCCAAGAGGCCGCTGAGAAGGCCCCGGCAAACATTAAGCATTTCCTCCGGGGGGGAGCGTATATATTCTTGGAGTTTCGCTCTTCAGTTCTACCAGCGGTCGCGACGGTCCAAGAGATTACCAAAATGGGCCCCAGAAGCCCCAAAGCGGGTTCCAAGATGGGCTAAAGAGAGCTTCAAGCGGCACAGAAGAGGTACAAGACGGCCCAAGAGAGCCCCCAGGAAGCCCGGGGCCACCAGAGGACTCCAACATGGTCGGAGAGGGCCCCAGGAGGGCCCCAAGACGGGGTGAGCTCCCCACGACGAGCCAAGAGGGCGCGGAAATGCCGAAACGGGCCCTCAGACGGGCCAACAAAGGCCCCAAAGGACTCCAAAGGAAGGCCCGGAGAGGCTCCATAGACTGTCGCGATGCTTCCAAAAAGGCTCCCGGCACACGTTCCAGTAGGCACCCGTGTACTAGGTGCGCTGAGAGAGAGGACGAGGAGGACCAGGAGGAGGAGGAGGAGCCGGAGGAGGAGGAGGAGGAGGAGGAGGAGGAGCCGGAGGAGGAGGAGGAGGAGGGAGAAGGAGGAGGAGAGGGAGCAGGAGGAGGAGGAGGTGGGAGAGGAGGAGGAGGGGAGGAGGAGGAGGAGGAGAGAGGAGGAGGGGCAGGAGGAGGACGAGGACGAGGACGAGGAGGAGGAGGAGGAAGGCGTAATGACGCTGATGATGATGATGATGATGATGATGATGATGATGATGATGATGATGATGATGATGGCGTTGACTATGTCGACGACGACGCCGACGATGACCAACAAGATGTTGATGATGCGGATGATGATGCTGAAAAGGACGGTGACGATGATGGCGATGGTGATCACGATGCCGATGATAATGGCGATACCGATTGTTGCGATGGTGATGGTGAAGATGACCATTACCTTGACGATGACGATTCAGATGAATGAGGATGACAATGATGACGACGATCATGACCCTAGCTAGAACTTGAGCGCGCGCGAAGCGCGCGCGATGGTTCTAGTATATACAAGCACATGCGTACACATATACATATGTTTACACGTCTGTTTATAGAGACCGATCTGTTTATATCACATGTATGGGTGTGTGTGCCGCACGTGTATAACGCAATGTAGCCCACGTTCAGGCACACTGCACCATTCAGGACGGTCATGTGCTTCTCCCTCCCACCCCCCCGTCGCCACCCCTTCCTCCACGCGTCCTCCTCTTCCTGCCTCCTCTCTCCTCCCTCCCTCCTCCTCGGCTTCCCCTCCGCTTGTGTATTCGACTCTCCGTGTGAATGCGTGTCAGCGCTGATCTATCCAGTGTTCGTCGTCGGGTCCTTTACGCCGCGGGCTCGAAGAAAGCCAGCGTAATGTGGAGTCACTTCGCGATCGGTCCTGTCCTTCCAGGCCTACTAGATGGGGTCGGAGTAGATGGGGTCGAGGGATCGCGCCGCATCCCCGATGCATCGCCGATGCGGCTCGATGTGGAGACCGACGTGCTTCACGTCGACGTCGCCAGTGCATCACCGACGCATCGCCGATGCATCGCCGATGCATCGCCGATGCATCGGCGATGCGCTGCGATCCTCCGGTCCCATCAACTCGGACCACATCTAGGAGGCCTCTGCACCCTAGGCGATGCTTAAGAACACTTAAATTTCCAGCCAGAGTCTCGATTATTCTGAATGTTGCAATATGAAACCCAAGATTCTAATACAAACATCCTGGGTGTTTTTAAACTTCTGAGACTAGGGATTTCTGAGCCCATGGGTTCTTTAAGCATCTCGCAGGGTGTGGTCCTGTCCCATCCGATCCCCCTCCACTTGGCATCGCTCGGACGTGTGCATTTTTCTCGGCGAGGACCATCGAGGAGCATCCTTGATCATTTGGCGACAAAAACCACGTACGAAACCGAACAAAAACACACATGGAATGGACGTCCGAGCGATGGCCAGTCCAGGCTGCGCCCCGCGGCCCGGCCGCTCCCCCCGCCCCGCCCCCCCCAGCCCACCGCCTACGACGCGGTGGTGGAGGAGCGCTCGGTGGAGGGGCTGTGCGGGTTCCCGCCGTGCCAGGCGCGCGGCCCTCCTGGTGTCGGCGGCGAGCCAAACGGGGGGGTAATGCATCGGAGGAGGAGGAGGAGGAGGAGGAGGAGGAGGAGGAGGAAGAGGAGGAAGAGGAGGAGGAGGAGGAGGAGGAGGAGGAGGGGAGGGAGGAGGAGGAGGTGGGGAGGAGGAGGAGGAGGAGGAGGAGGAGGAGGAGGAGGAGGAGGAGGAGGAAGAGGAGGGCGCCATCGACAGGGAAGGTGAGGGCCACGAGGTCCGCTGGCTCGACGCCCGCCTCGCCCGCGCCCGCCCCCTCACTCTTATCCGCAATTGTGGGGTGAGGTCGGAGGAGGAATTGGCCGTTTTCGGTTCGCGAGAGGGCGTCGCGGTCGTCATTTTTGCGGGTCCAGGTCCGTCGGTTTCGGTCCCAGGCCGTTTTCATTAAGGGGAGGTTTATTAAAGGGAGGTTTGTCCACCGCTGAATACATCACCAGAGGCGGATTGCTTTTCAGTCCCAGGACTTCTTGAGGGTGCCGTGCAGTGTACTGTGGTTTCTTGCTTCCCTGGGGGAACAACGAGAACAGTACACACCAGGATCCTGCATACACCAGGACCCGCTTGCTTGTGCAAAGTTCAGTGCAGGGCCAGAAACAAAAAACGTCGGTGAATAGAGTTCGGTTCCCTAGAATGGAGAATGGACGGGTCTTCTCAGAAGGCTCAGCCTTCCGAGAAGTTTTCTGAGCCTTCCCCGAAAACGCAATAAGACCTTTCAGAAGGCCGGAGGCACATTCTGAAAAGGCCTCATTTCCCCCCCTGGGCTCGCCGCCGATAAGGGGCCGGCGGGACGACGACGGGCCCGAAGGGGGTCTTAGCGGTTTATCCGTTTCTGGCAGGCGCTCGAGGCGGCTCGGACGCTTTCGCCGGGCTGTGGAGGGCATCCCGCCCCGGGATGTCTTCCAGCAGCTGCGCCTCGTCGAGAGCGCTCCAGGGAGCTGGCCGCTCGCCGCGATCGGCCGCCGGAGGCCCGCGCTTACTGTGGCCAATCGCGCTGCGACAAGATTGCGACGGACAGTTGACCAAAGAGCGGGCCTGAACGGGTTCTATGGTGCTCGCTTTTTGATTAGAGTGCAGTTTTTTATACATGCTCCGCGTGCGGATCATGTATTAAAAATGCAATGATTAGTATCAAAAACAACGATTCGTTCATGCATACATTTGTTCATCTATTCATCATGTAT